GCCAGACCCTACATGGCAAAGCCCCTCTGTCCCTCAGCCCCAGAAGGGACAAGGTGGGATTATGGTGCACTCAGGGCCAGGGGCTTTGCCACCCCTTCCCAGGATGCTCCTTCTCCTGCCTGGTGATTCATTCCTCCCAGGCCCCAACCAGGCTGGCCTTGTGCCGAAGCGACGCTGCACAGGGAAGCAAAGCCTTCCTGGAACAAACTGGGAGTCCTTTAACTTCCCAGGGAGGAAGAGAGTGTGCAGCCCTGATTAGGAAAGGATTTCATGGCTTTCCTTGGCACTTGGACTGCTTAAGCCCTTCCTGCCTGTAGTCTCCCCACGCCACCAGCGTATCTGCCCGGCACCTGGGGCTCAGACAGACCAAGAACTGCCCCCCAGGAACCCTCGCTGCCCCTCAAGGCCCTGACAAAGAGGAAGGAGGCTCCAGGATGGGGCAGGATGTGGGCTCAGGTGCTGTGTCCCACTCAGGTGGTTGGCAAACCCCACAGCCCACCCCAGCAGCCCCTTGCTAGGCACTGATGGTGCCAGGACCTACCTGCACCTCCCGTGTGTGATAGGCGATGATGAGGCCCAGCAGGATGACGGTGGAGAGGCTTATAAGGCATTTCAGGGCCAGGGAGAACATGGAGTCCTGCAGGGTGAAAGCAGGGAAGGCATTAAGGGGCACACAGCTGTGGGAGTCTGCTGGCACTGGACTCCACACCCCAGAGAAAATACTGCCCCCCACCCCTGCTATCCCCATCCTCAATGGCACTTTTGCTGCTTCAGCTTCCCCCCTAAGCAGCTTGACACAGTAGTAAGGGCAGCATCAGAACCATCAGCATCACTGGCACCACTGCTACCACCAGCAAAAAGAATTAAAAACTTTTAATTCTGTTCTGCTGAGTGCAGTTCCCAACCTCCCCTATGAGATGTGCAATGCCAGTGGCCTGGCCCCATCTAGCCTGAGCCCAGGATTATGGTATCCACACAGAAGATCTCACTAGACCCTCCAGCTAATTAGTCTTATGGAAATTAAACCAGCCCCTGATTCACTGATGCTGAACTGGCGGGTCCCTGCTGGGAAAAGCAGGATTCACTGTTCCCTTTGGATGCTGGTAAACTCACGTGGGTGCCAGCGACAGTCCAGCCCCACTGGTGCTCGGCCATGGGCAGCCCTTCACAGGATGCTGCTCCCAAACCAAACCACCTTACCACCCGTCCCACAGCTCCACGCCATGCCCAGCGTGGGGAGGCCTGGCACACTCCTGGCCTGCTCGGACCCAGCACGCTCATGGCAGGTTATCCCTGGCTTCTCAGTGTGCTGGGCTGGCTTTGGCCTTGCTTGGCTCCCTCTTCCCTGTGCTCCCCATCCCCACAGGCTGTTTGCACGCAGAGAAGGGACTATTTGCTGTGGAGGCGGCACCGCATTGTTAACGACTTGGCTCTGGCTGTGCAATTGTGTGGATATAATGGCTGGTGCTAAGAAAAGTGCTGTGACTAAACACTACTATTAACAGGCAAACTCTGGGCAGCATTGTGCCAAGGGGCTCTGGCCGGGCCCTTCTCAGGGGCACAAACCCTGCACGGGGCACCCACTGCCCCACCTGGCAAGTGTCACACAGCGTGTACCGATGCCTCCTGCCTGAAGAGACCTGCCAGGATGAGCTGTTCCTGGATCCCACGCTCGCAGCAAGCAACGTGGGGTCTGGGCCAAAGTGGGGAAGGATCTTGGCACCCCTGGCACATGTCCTGCTCCCCCACATGCATGGGAGAATGCTTCAGTCTGCCGGCGCTGCACAGGTGGTGGGAGGCAGCAGTATTGTCCCGTGGGCAGGAGAGGCCCTGTCCTGCCCACAGTCAATTGCCAGGCAGGGAGCAGGCAAGGCAAACCCTGGCCAGCGTGTCCTTGCTCCCAGCTCAGCCCTGGCACCCTCTGGCTGGCAGCATGTGGCAGCATGGCTGGGGCCGTGGGGCAGGGCTGGAGCTGCGCTGACGTCCCCATCTGCACAGTGGCACTCCCACACCCGGCATGTCCCTGCCGGTGAGTTCTGCTTTCTCACCGGGGGCTGCTGGGGGGGATTTATGCACAGCTGCTGCAAATCTGGCCAAGGGCCTACGAGGCCGGAGCCAGGGACACTCCTGCACCCTGTGGCTGTCAGCACAATTGTTTGTGTCAGAGGGGCAGGGGCGCAGCAGCGTGCCACAGCTGCTGCATGGCAGCAGCGCTGACTCACGGGGTCTTCCCCAGCTGACACAGCAGCTCAGCGTGGTGGGGCCAGCGAGCATGGCAGCGTTCTGCTGGCAGCTCGGCAAGGGTGGGCAGTCCCCCTGGTGCCAGGCATGCATGCCTGCGAGGGTGGCTACGACTCAACAGGTAGCGGATGCAGGTGGGGGATGGTGGTTTGGCTTTGCTCCTGGCAAAGGGGAGTGGGAACCACCAGAAAAAGGCTCTGGCATTGAAGCGTCTTTCTTGGCAAGGATGCCAGTTTGGCACCAAGGCATGCCCCTGCCTCAGACAGAGCAGTGGAACTGCTGCCCGCAGCCCCCACATGCCCACTGACCCTGGCAGCCGTGGAAAGATGGGGCTCAGGAGCCCCCCAGCCAGACACCTCGGTGGGGAGGCAGCAGGAGCCCCCAAATCACAGGACCCCCAGCGACATGTGTCCCCTCCTCCACCGCCTCTGCTCACACTGCCCTCCCCACTGCCCGTGCCGGGTAATGGCAGAAATGGTGAGCAGCCCCTTCCCACCCTGCTCCTGCCCCTCCACGGGCGGCACCGCGGCACAGGGACCCCACTGGCTGCACCCCAGCCCCCCCAGCAGCGCCGGCCCGCTGACGCCCATGGGTGCTGGTGGGGGTGCCGATGCCTTCCCCTCTCTGGATAAGTATAAATAACATGACAGATGTCTATACAAAGAGTTATTCATATCGCTGCCAACCAGTGCAGCCCTGGAGCAGGAGCTGGAAGGCACGTGGGGGGGAGAATTATAAATAAAAGACACTGTCCTGCAAAAAAAAAAAGGCAAAAAGAAAAGGCAGGAAGGGGTGTGGAGGAGGAGGCGGAGGACAGAGGGGGTGCTTCCCTGCACGGCCGGGGGCACAGTGCTTTTGAGGAGGGCACTGCCATGCCAGCAACAGGCACCATGAACCTCAGTGGGTCGGTGCCTGCTGCTGCAGGTGCCCGGGGCAGGACTCGACAGAGCAGCCACCAGCACAAAGCTCCGCACCTCCAGTCGGGTATCGCCCTGTCCAACACCTGTGGCTGCAGTATCCACTAAAGCTCTGGGAACATCCTGTCAGTCACCAGCCAGCCTGGCTGACCCTGTTCCTCTCCAGATGGGCCAGACAGCTCCATATTTATCCCACGGGATAGATGGGGCAAATGGCTCCGTGTTCGCACCACCAGCCCCGCACACACCCCCCTGGCCCCCCGGTACCTTGGAGTAGAGCCCCCAGGAGAGCTCAGTCTCAATGACCATGACGACAATGCCAAACATGCCGAAGATGAGCGCGTAGTCACTGAGGCGCTTCCTCTTCTCGAACAGTGCCCGGCGGTGCCCGAGCCGGTAGCCGATGTTCTGTGCCTTGCGCTTGGGCCCCTTGGCAAAAGTGGTGGGGGCCGGGCGGGCGGGCGGGCGGGTGGCACGGTGGGTGGTGGGTGCATGGTTGTCCTCGCGTGAGACAACAATTTCAGGGGGTTCACCGGCACCGAAGAGCTGCAGGGGTTGTGCCTCCGGCTCGGCCTCGATGAGGTTCCGTCGGGATGCGCTGAGTCGGCTGAGGGGCTTCATAACCCCGCCGCTGTACTTGCAGGAGCTCATGGCAATCTCGGTGAAGGGGTTGCTGTCCCGCCGGTGCACCAGCGGGCTGGGCTGCCGGTGTTTGCTGCTGGGCACCCCCGAGCCCGCTGGGTGGTCGCCGAGGTTGAGCTGGCTGCCGTGGCGGGAGGAAGGGTGGAGGGCGGCGGGGGCGGCGGGAGGAGGAGGAGGGGCCCGTAGCGACCCGGGCGAGGAGTGCAACAGGCTGTGCTGGAGCGGCGGCAGCGCGGAGGGCGGCGGCGGTGACCGTTCATCCCCCGGTAACGGGCAGGGACACCGACCATCCTCCTCCAAGTCCCCCACGCCCGAATCGTGGAGATGCCCCGATGTCTCCATGACGGCGGTACCGGCGCCACTTTCCAGGGCACCGGTTCCGCTTTACTCGCCACCGGCCCCGTTCGCTGGATCATGAATGGGCTCCGTGCTCTCGCCGCTATCGCCGCCGCCACCGCCCCCGCCGCTGCCGCTGGCCCGGCCCCGCAGCGCCATTGGCCACGCCGGGGCTCCCCGCAGGCTGACATCATCCCCGCCCGCTCCCCGCTCCGTGTCTCCCCCCCATCACACCCCCGGCTCCGCATCTCTGCGGGGTCCTTCGGGACTTGTAGTGCACCGGGCTGCACCGGGCGCCGGTGCCCGCACGCCCCGAACGACCCCTCCTTTGTTTAACCCATTGGGTTCCCCCACGGGCACCCCCCCGCCTTTCCTACGATCCCCCTTAATCCGTTTATGGAGGCTGGAGATTACGAGCAGCAGCTGGAGCTGGTGTTCCCATCCCGCGGTGGGTCACCCCGTGGATGGCAGGCGCGGTGTGTGTGTCTCACAGCGTCCCCAAGGTTGGGGTCAGGGTAATGGTAGACCCAGAGTATGGGATATATACATACAGATGTATATAGGGCCCTAATCCCCCCTCAAAACCCCCAGCCCACCCAGGCACCACCACCCCCATACCCTGCCGTGCCCAGCTGTTGCAGGAGGGTGCAGATATGAGTGCATGAGTTTGGGCAGCAGATAATCTGTAGGGAATTGGCTGCTAGAAACCTTATTAAAAGACACCATGAAACATCCAGCTAGTGGCCCCCTGCTTGGACAGAACTGCACTTCTTCCTCCCAGAAGCTGGGAAACCCACGGTGGGGGTGGGGGCAGGATCACCTGTGTGTCCCTTCCCCAGAAATGGGACACAGGCCCAGCATGGCAGCGGTTCTGTGTCACAGCTTTATTCCAGAACAGGAAGCATCATCAGCAGGAGGTGGAGGGGGACATGCTGAGGAGCTGGGGGGAAGAGGGGGATGATGCAGTCCCCAAGCCCCAGTGGAGAGACATGGAACTAGAGGCTGCTGTGGAGAGACTGCACCAGCACCTCCAGCTGCTCGTCCAGGGCCACCTTATCCCCATCATTGGTGATCACCCAATCAAAGGCCACTGCCTGGTCCAGGCCGCACTCAGATTCAGCGTCATCCACCCCTGGTAGCAGAGAGCCCAGGGAGACCCCAGGGATGGTCAGGATCTGTCTGTCTGTACCCTCCCCATGGCCTCACCCCCTGGAGGCGGGGGCCTTGATCCAAAGCCTCTTGCTCCCACTGCCAAGGGAGGGTAGTGGAGGCAGCAGAGCTGTGCCCATTGGGCAACCCCAGTTTTGGTGTCACAGTCACACTAGGCGAAGTGCCCCTCACTTGCTCACCAGTGACAAAGACCCAGTTCCTCCTCTTCCTTGTCTCCTCAGTAGCCACCACCCGCACGGTCTGCACCACGTCCCCGTAGGCGGCCCGGAACCACTCCACATCTGAGAGGCGCCGTGTGTCACTCACCACCTGCGCAGGGCTCCATCAGCACCCGTCCCGCGCCCCTGGTGCCCCCATGCACTCCCCAAAACTCACCCACACCGGCTGCAGAGCCCCCTGCACCGCTGCCCGGCAGAAGAAGCCGGGGTCAGCACGGCGCTTCTCCTCGCCCCAGCGGATCATGTCCTGACGGAACTCCTCCTTGTAGGCGCTGGCATCCAGGAGTCGCTGAAAGTCCAGGCCATGCTCCTGTGGGGAAGGGGGTTCAGTAGGCATGGCCCGGGCCGGTGAGTGTGGCGTGGCACAGCCATGGCTGCTGTGACACGCCACGCCTCAGCACAGCTCGGTGGGATGGGATGGCTCAGCACAGCACAGCACAGCACAGCACAGCACGCAACAGGTTGGCACGATGTGGTACAGCATGATCGTGGCATGGCACAAATTGGCACAGCACGTCCTGACACGGCTTGGTGTGGTGCAGCATGGCACAGCTCAGCACAGCGTGGCAAAGCATCAGATGGCACAGCACGGTGCAGCAGCTCAGCGCTGCGTGGCGCGGTGTAGCACGGCATGGGCATGGGAAGAGAGGACAGCAAAGCACATGCCCTGGCACAGCTCAGCGTGGCACGGCACGGCTCGGTGCGGCACAGTGCGAGCGTGGGACGGCACAGCACGCGGCAGAACACGGCAGTGTCCCGGCACAGCTCAGGATGGTGTGGCACTGTGTGTCATGGTGTGGCACGGTGCGAGCGTGGGACGGCACAGCACGGCACGGCACGGGAGTGTCCTGGCACAGCTCGGCGCGGCGTGGCACGGCTCGGTACCTTGGCGTACTGCTCCTTGAGGGGCCCGGAGAGGCGCAGAATGGTGCAGACATCAGGGCCCAGCCTGCGGGAGAGACGTTCGCGGGACGGACACTACCACCGGCTCCACTCGGCCAAGTCCCGGCCTCCCTGCACCCGGTGCCTTCCCCGCCAACACGCCTGGCCCGGTCCCGCCCCGCCCGGTACCGGCTCCGCAGCTCCTCGGCCACGAAATCCTTCCCCGATTTCCTCTTCCCGCTCAGCAGCAGCACCGCGCGCGGCGCCGCCATCAGCACCGGCCCCGCCCCGGGCCCGCCCCGGCCCCGCCCCGGCCCCGCCATCAGCACCGGCCCCGCCCCGGCCCCGGTCCGGCCCCCCGCCCCCCGGTCGGCTCACGGCGCCCCCTGCCGGGCGGAGCTCGCAGCGCAGCGTGGCTGCCCGGGGACATGGCGGGTCCCGCCCGGCAGCCCGCACCCCTCTGCCCCATTGCCTCCTCACAGCCTCCATCCTCCTCTGACGCTCCCTTTCACCCGCACCCCGCTCTTCCCAGCATCTGCATTTCCCCAGCACTCTCCCCCAACAATCCCATCTCTTCTGCACCCTGCTTTCTCCCAGCATCCATTTCCCCCAGTACCCTCTTTTCTCTCCGAGCACCCTTCCTCCTCAACATCCCTACGCCTCATCTGCACCCCACTTTCACCTGCCCCTCACTTCCTCCAGCACTCCCCTTTCCTTTTCCCTGTTCCTTCTCTAAATCCCCATTTCCCCCCAGCGCCCCCAACACCCTTTGTTCTCCCCCAGCAATCCCCTTCCCCTCCAACACATATTTCTCTCTGCCCTGCCTTTTCATCTGCACCCCCTCTGTCCCAGCAGCCCTTCCTCCTCCCTGCACTCCTTCCTTCCCTTTCACAGCACCTTCTTTGCCCACAGCACTTCAGTCCCCCCTGCTCTCCCCTTACACCCCCTATTCCTCCTCTGAACCCCCATTTCTCCAGCCCTCCTCCCTATGCACCCTCCCTTCCCCCCACCCCCATTTCCCACATCTACACAGCTCTGCCCAGCGGTGATTTTATTCATGGTGGCAGTGCAATATCACACAGTGCATTTGGTTGGGGATGTGGCCCTACTTGGCCCTACAGGGTGTGATGGTCACTCCCAGACCCCCATAAACAGCATGTGGGGAGCCCTTGTGTGGGGGTGCTGGCACACTACTGCCCCTCTGGCTCTACCCACGTGTGCCATGCTGCCTTGGGGCTCTCTGGCTCCACACGTTCCCAGAGGCGCTGCAAGAGAAGGGAAGGTGTGATGGGCTGCAGTAGCAGGGGAATCCTTGGGGACCCCTGGCACTGCCCACCCCAGCTCACCCACTGTAGTGCCGCAGCATGTACTCCTCAAAGCCATCAACCGCCTTCTTGTTGCCCCACTCCTGCCACGCCACATCCTCAAGCAGATCCTCCACATCATCCACAAAATCGACAAATCGCAGGCGGTCGTGGGCAAAGACACCGTCAGCTCTGAAGGCCCCATCAAGCTGTGGTGCCAGCTTCCCAAATTGCCTCCCCAAGCCTAGCTGCCCCATGAAGCTCTCCAGCAGTTGCAGGAACTGCACCTTCTGCACCGGCTCCAGCGCAGCCCCAAGCACTTCCTGGCCCTCCTTGTGGGCACAGTCAGTCACCCCAGAACAGCCCTGTGGTGCCCGGTACCGCCTAAGCCAGGGCACCTCATGGGAATCATGGCGGGGGTGGCTGTGAGACGGCTTTCCCCAGGATTTGCCTGGCTTGTGTTCACGGGGGGTTTGGGAATCCTTCTTGTGGGGTTTGCCATGCTCTCTCCTCTCCTGCTTATGGGGGGACCCCCTGGTGCCATGCTGCTTGTGCCACCCGCTCTCCTTCTCCACCTTGAATGGCTTCTTCCAGGCTGTGGAGAACGACCCCGAGCTCTCTGCCTCCAGCACCTGGGCCAGGTGCTGCTCCAGGGTGCTTAGCTCCTCCACAAGCCCCTTGAGATCCCCAGAGCCCCGCGCACGGTCCAGGCTGTCCGCCAGCTCCTGCCGCAACGAATCCAGGCTGCCGTGCCACCGTGGCGCGGCCTTACCGTGCCCTGGCACAGCTGTGGCACGAGGCTGCCCTGCTGCTGGCTCCCTGCGAGCCTGCAGGCGCCGCAGCTCGGCCTGGGCCTCCCGCAGCGCCGTCACTTCCCGCTCCAGCGCCGCGCGCAGCCGCGCGTTTTCTCTGGCCAGACTCTGCTGCTGCGCCCCGGCCGCGGCCGCCTCACCCTCGCTCCTGTGCAGCAGTGCCCGCAGATCTTCCTTGTGGGCCTGGGGCAGAGGTGGGGGGCTGTGAAAGAGGTGGCAGCACGAGAGCAGCACTGGGGCACAGCACAGAGACGTGGTGCTGGTCACCAACCTGCAGCTCCGCCTGCAAGAGCCGGATCTCCTGGTTCTCTTTGGCCAGCTTGTCCAGGAGTTGGCTCATGGACTGCACGCTCTGTGAGCCCCCAGCATCTGCCAGAGGGGGCTCCTGCTGGGAGTCCTGAGGACAGCAAGGTTGGGAGCCCTGGAGGCATTGAGGACACCCTCTGCCCTCACTCAGCCCTGCTTGACACCCCTCCTTACATTGCTGTCTACGGACAGCAGTGACTCCTGCTCCCCAGCAGCCAAGTCCCAGCTCCCCACACTCTCCACAGGGCCTGTGGAAGATGACATGGGTCTGAATGTCCAGGCTGCTGCAGGACGTCCCCTGCCCAGGTGGGTCAATTGCCTCTACTCACCATCTGCCACGTCGTAGATACCACCTGGGAAGAGGAGGGGACAATGAGGGGGATGTCTGGACCCCACCCTGTCCCTGGGGCCTTGGCCACTGGGATCCCCACTTACCAGTGACGATCAGCAGCCCCACAGCAACCAATGCCAAGGCACCAAACAGGTACTTGTTCATACTAAGCCCATCATCACCACTGTCAGGTGTCCCCCGGTGTGAGGCAGGTGTGACAGTGGGGGGCTCAGGATGGGGCTTGTGGCCCTTCCGCCACCGCAGCCCCTCCATGTTATCGTCACTGCTGGTGCAGGACACGTCCTCTGCTGTTGGCCCTAGGGGAAGATGGGGGGGACCTCCAGGGAGGGTCTACACCTAAACACTGCCAGCACAGATTCCCCCAGGCAAGTCCCCTGTGAGGGGGGGGTGTCCCCTGACCTGCTTGAGGGGTGTCACGGCAGGGTTGTGGCTCAGCCTCAGCTTTCAGCTCCTCCTGCTCATCGCCCTCCAACACGCTGGGCTCTGCAGAGCCATCCAGGGCAGTGCCTGCCCCGGAGTCCTCACATTCCTCTGGGTCCTGCAGACAGGCACTGGCATATGGGGCATCCCTGTGTGGGGAGCACCCCACCAGTTCCAGCTCACCCCCAGCCCCCCAGTTCTGACTCACCCCCTGCCCGCTGTCCTCGGGGCACGAAGTCTGGCTGGGGAAGGTAGTGGCACCATTGGTGGTCACAGCTGGGGAGAGGCAGAGCATGGGGATGAGACAGTGGCACAGGACAGTGACACCAGGCTTGCCCCATACCCACAGTGCCTGCCTGTGACTGTGTCCTGGGTGCCTTCATCCTCCTCCTGTGGTTCCTCATCGTCAGACCTGTGGGAGGCTGAGTCCTGCTCTGGACCCACTGTGTCAATGGGCAGACCCTAGGGGAAGGGGGTACATAGGGAGACAACTTTAGCCCCGACATCCATGTGCCCGCAGCCCCGGGTAGGCACTGGTACGGTAGGGTGTGCCTGGGGGTCTCTAGCTCTGGGGGGTGCCCTAAGGGCCCCAAGGCATGGGGTCCCAGTTGTGGGATGTTGCCCTGGAGATCCCAAGCAGTGAAAGGCCTGCTCTGGGGCTGGTGAGCCCTCACCTCACTGCCCGCCAGCACCCAGCTGCTCTCTGAATCTCGGGGATCCAGTTTCTCCGCCATGGGGACAGTCCAGTGCTACCTGCAAGGGGACAGCGGGACACGACCCAGCTCCCAGTACCGGCTGATGTGACCGGGAGAGCCACGGTGCCAGTGCCAGCCAGTCCCTGCAGCCTGTAGCTGGGAGGCTTTCGGGAGTCCCGGTGCACCGGCTCTGCGGCTGCACCCCCACTGACACCAGCTGCCGCCGCGGGGTATTTTTAGCCGGTGATGCGACCCAGCAGGTGGACGGGTGACTCGTGGCCTGGCGTGGGGGAACCAGGGGCCCCGGTGGGGATCCCACCGCCCCACAGCAAAGCGGCAGCACAGGACGGGGCAGCTCCCGCCCCACCCGGTACCGGCTCCGCAGCCCCACTCTTCGCCCCCCACCCCCGTCTGAGACCCGGAACCGGCCCGGAGCTGACAACCCCCTCCTCTCCGCTTCCCACGGGCTCCCCGAGCAGCGCCGCGGCCCCGGGGCCGGCTGGGCCTGCAGCGGCAGCTCCGCCGCTCCGGTACCTGCGCCCGCCGCGTCCCGCCGGGAACTTTCCGCGGGGCCGCCCCCGCCCCGGGCCGCGCCGCGCACGTGACGCGCGCAGCCAATCGCAGCCCGCGGCGCGGAGGGGGCGTGGCCAGCGGGCCCCGCCCCGCCGGTACCGAGCGGCGCCCCCCGCCCCACCCGGTGCCAGACACACACCGACAGCCCCGCACACACACCGACACGCGCGTTTAACAGTTTTATAACGACGGTACAAAAATTTCCATCAACGGTTGGCTAAAACGGACGGACCTGGGGTGGGGAGCGGGTACCGGGACCGTCCCGAGCACCGGAGCAGGGGGCAGCGGGACTGCCCCGTCAGTGTGGTAGGGGACACCGGGAGTGCTGCACAGCCCAGGAGATGGCCCCTGCAAGGGTAATGACCTAACTGGGGCCAGCGCTGTGGTGCACCAGGAAGGCTCAGCCCTCACCGAGCCGGTGCACCGGGCTCAGAGCCTTGCCCACAGCAAAGGTGTGACACCGGCACGGCCAGCACCGTCCCGGGTCCCCTGGTAGGTCCCGGTGCCAGGCAATGCCCAGTGAGCAGCCACAGCCAGTGCATGGCAGTGGCTCTCTGGCTGGCGGGGGGAGGGGGGGCGACAGCTACAAAAAATGGGTGTTTGGTCCTAAATCGGTGGGGGAAAGCTGTACAAGGCAGCTGAACGGTGGCTCAGCCGTCGTTGGCGGTCACCAGCTGTCCCATGCCCTCCCGGATGTAGACCGACTGGATCTCCTTCGTCTTGAGGCAGAAGTCGCAGGCCCAGACGGCAGAGGCCTCCGTGGTGAGCAGCCCGTAGGCATTCTCTGTCATGCCTGTGCACTCTCGGTGGAACCACTTCTGGCAGGACGCCTCGCAGAGGATGGCGTCCTGGTCATCGTTCACCTCGTTGCGACAGGCCCCGCAGGGGTACACGAGCCCCGGTGGCGGCTGGTGCCCCGAGGTGCTGCTGGCCTTGCCGGGGGGCGGCAGGGGAAGGCTGTTGGTCTCAGGGGTGCTGGCGCTGCGCCCGGCGCTGTTGGGGGCGAAGCCCGGCTGCGCCCCGTTGACGGTGGCGGGGGAGCCCGAGTGCTGCTCCTGGGTGAAGGTGCTGGGGGGAGGGTTCTTGCCCCCCTCTTCGCTGCTAGCAGGGAAGCTGGGGTCCGCCCCAGGGAACGGACTGGCTGTGGGGGGCAGGGGTGGCATGTTCTGCCCGGGGCGCTGCATGGGCGATTGTCCAAAGAGGTTGCTGGGCTGGCTGAAGCGCTGAGCCACCGCCGGCCCCCCGGGGGGGTTGAGGGCTGGCCCGGGTCCCATGTCCCCCCGCGGGGGCTGCCCCATAGTGGGGGACATCATGGGCCCGAAGCCTCCAACAGGCCCCTGCATGAGCTGCCCCATAGGGGGGCTGAAGTTCTGTCCAAGGGGCTGGCTGAAGGGCTGCCCGGCGAAGCTCAAGCCCCCCGGCTGCACGTAGTTTGGATTCTGGGGGGGCATGCTAAAGGCCGGGCCCATCTGCCCGGGGGCGAACGGGGGGGGCTGCCTCCGCAGGGGCTGGGGACCCCCGCCGTAACCGGGGGGCACCTGCGGCGACATCCCCCCCTGCATGCGGAACCCGCCGAAGGGGACGGGACTGCCGAGAAACGGGGCAGGCGCCGCCCCCACCTTGGGGGCCCCGAAATCATCCTCGAAGGGGTTGGAAGCCACCAGGTGGTCCACCATGGGAGTGGGCGGCGGGGCGAACTCCGAGAGGTGCGAGTAGGCAGGGCCCTGCGGGGAGAAGGTGGCGGTCAGGGCTGCCGCGGCGCGCCCCCGGGCCCCGCGCCGCCCCGAGCCCGGCCCTACCTGCGTGTTCGACTTGCGCCGCTTCTTCTCGGGGCTCTTCATCTGCAGCCCTGAGGGGACAAGCGAGGCCGCGTCAGCGCAGCCGGGGCGACCCCCCCCCCCCCACCACCACCCCGGTCCCGGCCCGCCAGCGCTCACCTGCCTTCCCCTGCTTGCGGCCGGGCCCGCCGGGCGCGGCGCTGCCCGCGGGGTGCGGGGGCCCCGGCGGGGCCGGCGGGGCCGGGACCGCTCCCTCCAGCTTCTCTGCGTGCGGGGCCGCCATAGCCCTCAGCGCGCGCGCGCCGCCGCCATGGCCCGAGCGCCGCCGGAACCGGGCGGGGCCAATCACAGCGCGCGGGGGGCGGGGCCGACGGGCGCGAGACGCGTCAATCACCGCGGACTCCCGCCTCACCCGCCAGTCGGGCCGAACCAAACGCGGTGCGATGGAAGGGGGGGGACAGACGGGCCAAACCACGCACGAGGTCCGGGGGGAAGGAAGAGCACGAAGTGCAGCGCCCTCACGGAGGAACCGCCCGCCCGCAGCGACCCCTCCCAGCTCACACCAGCCAGGGCCTAGAGAAATACCGACTTTAATACAACCGCCAGTTCCTTTGGTATAGCGGGGCAGGGGCCTGGGGCTGCGAGGGGCGGGCTGCGCTTTGGCTTGGGGGGAGTTACACTGTGCATGCAGGGGGGTCCTCCCGCCAACCCCCCGGGGCTGCAGAATTGCCCTTGGACGGGCAGGGAGGAAGGGGACGTGGTGGTGGCACGTGTCCTGGAGCACAAGCATGTCACGGATGGGGTACAGGGTGCTGGGAGCACGGGGGAGGCTCTGCAACCAGCCCCTGCCCTTGCATAAGAGTGTGGGACCTGCGGGGTCAAGGCACAGAGTTAACACGTAAAGTGATCTGGTACAGTCGAGGGCCTCGTGCTTGGGGGAGCGGAGCCCCCCGTGGGCCCCCTCCTTGGCCCAGGGGCCAGAGATAAGGACAGGCTGCCTCTGGCTCAGGAGGGCTCAGCCCTGCCAGTCCTGAGCCCGTGCTGGTGAGCACGAGAGTGGCTGTGGCACGATAGCAGGGCTGGGTTTTGGTAGGAGCTGAGCTGCTCTGCAAAGGCTGGAGCTGGAGGGGCATGGGCTTTGCAAGAACAGTTCCCTACCCTGCAGGCACTCACAGCCTGAGCCCCCCCACGGCCACCAGCTCCATGTGGTGAAAGGAGAGAGGCCCTGTCCTCAGCCAAGTCCGTGCTCAGTCCTGGGTGGAGCACCTGGGAGAGTCTGAGGGCTCCCTGGGGCATGGAACACGGCCAGAGGGTTGCGCACTGGGGGTGCCGTGCACTGGGGTCCCCGGGCGCTCACAGTCTCCTCTCCACTGGCTGCTGCAGGCACATCTCACTGCCGGCCGAGATGATGGGCAGGTGATTGTCCATGTGGTAGCTGATGAGGTGGCTGACGCTCTCAAAGCGATGATCTTTTGTCCGCACCTGGGGGGCCAGAAAAGGGACGCTCAGGAGGCTGTCAGTGCCCCCGTGAGGCCAGAGCTACCACCCTCCATGGCATGGGTTGGGCACAGATCTGGGGCTGCAGTCTCAAACCCATGCTCCGCCAGGCCCTGTCCATCCCCAAAGCCAGCCCAGAGCTGTCCCCTGACAAGCACTGCAGAACCTCAATGCTCTGGTGGCTCTTGTAACCCCTAGGACCCCCCACACTGTCCCAATCTCCATCTCCAGGCCCCTGTGCGGACTCACCACTCCCTCGGGATCGACGAGCAGCAGATGCTTGGGCTGCCCGCCCTGCAAGCCAGTCAGCACATACTGGCCCGGGGTGGTGGTGCTCTCCCGCACCAGGAAGTCTCCGTTCACCTTCAGCAGCTTCTCAGCCTCCTTGCGGTTCATCTTCCCATGGTACCAGGGCTCCCGCCTCAGCTGCTCCTCCATGGAGGCCACCACCTGGGCAGGGGGCAGCCCCACAGGCACCGATGGGGGCACACGCAGGGCATCTTCAAAGGGCTCTGCAAGGACAGAGGAGCAGGGGCACCATGAGCAAGCCCACAGCCACGCTGGGTGCCCTGGCTGCAGCCACTGTTTACTCACTCATGTCGAAGAGGTCCCTCTGCGTGCTGCCATTGGCTGTGGCAGGGGTGCCAGAAGCTGAAGCTTGGCGTGTCTTGTCTATGTTCTGCACGTTGACGTAAGACGGGTCATCAAAGAGGTCTGTGCGGCCAGACGTGCCTGCTGGAGCTGGGTATTTCTCTCTCCCTGCTATCAGGAGCACTGTGGTCAGCAGTAAGGCCACCTTGGCCCCTCACCAGTGCCCACCATCAGAGCACTGGGGTCATGGAAGAGGATGGAGACACCCATCATGTTACCTTGGGCTGGAGCATGCTGCTTCTGCGGGTCATACTCCCCACCGCATGACTGGCCGACAGGCTGCAGGGAGAGGCAGTGATGAGCCCCCATCCCCTTTCCTGCTCACCCCCCATCCTGCTCCCCACACCCCAGGCTGCCAGAGACACCGGGGAGACACAAATCACCTTTAGCAGAACCCATAGCTCAGTCAGGGTCTCTACATCTCCCTTATAAGATGGTGCCTCCCCAGGAGGACATGCCCAGAGCCTCACCAGTGTGGCACCCAAGTGATTTGGGGTCTGAGCAGCCCCATCCTGCAGCCGCATGTCCACGACTCCCCCAATGGGAGGTTCCTTGCCAGGGAAGTCGTTGTAGTACTGGTGATCTGGGGCCGGTTCCTCCTCTTCTTCATCCCAGGCAGAGCCATCAAACCCCGCCATCCTGGCAGAGCACAGCACAGATAAGCCTGTGACAGCAGCCACGGCTGCATCCCCTCTCCAAAACCACCTTCCTCCTTGACACACCACCCTGCTCTGACCTGTCGTGGGGGGTCACCAGCTTTGGAGGGTTCTTCAGGTACTGCTTGAAGCGCAGCTCGAAGGCCTGCCCGATGGTGCTGATCACATCCTGTGCCAAGCCTTCAGGACACTCCAGGATATGGCAAGCTGGGTAGAAAATGGTGGGGTGGGACTGTGGAACTCCAGCACCAAGGTTCTCCACCCCAGAGCCTGCCCTATACACCCCAGAGCTTTCTTATGGGTCATCCAGTTCACCCCGCTATGTTGAGCTGATTCTGAACGCCTCCAAAGCGGGGCTTTGGCAGCAAGGACCCTTGCAGCACCCTCACCTCTCTGATTGACGGGGTCTTTGGCAACATAGGCAACATACTCGGCTGTGTCCTGTGGGTGAGACGGCAGCAGTGAGACAGGGCTGCTGGGGAGCTGGGCAGGGGGCAGGAGAGGCCCCCACACAGGGCAGGGATGGGGACCCTGCAGGGTACTCACCGGGTCTCCCCCTGATGCAAAGGATATAGACTGCATGTGGTGGTTGGCGATGATCTGCAAGGTGGAGAGCTTGTTGGACACAGCCAGGAATTTCTTGTCACCCAGCCAGGGGTGGCACATCCTGCTCCTCCCAGGGCTGACCTGCCCTGGTTATGAGCCACAGACCCACCAGAAAAAGGACTGGGACATCACCGGGAGTGGGGTCAAAACCAGGAGATCTGACCCAAGGCAAGGGGACTTGGGTCTCACCATCTCCAGGAGAGATCCCACAAAGCACATGGGCTATTCCTCCCACCTCTTCAGCCCCAGGGACTGCAGGGAGGGGAGCACTCATCTCACAGTCCATCCAGACATTCCCTGGGGAGGCCGGGGGCATCCCCTGCCCCAGCAAGATCTGGGGTGAGGCACATGAGGATTTCTGCTTGTCCAAAGCTAACCCAACCCCTCCCCATTCTCACCTGCTTGCAGTCTGAGGCCATGAGGTTGAGGCTGCTGGTGGAGATGGTCAGGGTGATGGGCATGCCTGCAAACTTCAGGTTGCTCTTGCCCAGGATGGAGTTCAGGGAACGGCTGCAGGGCTAGGGGCAAAAGGTAGCGTAGAGAAGGGGCTCCCCGGACCAGACAGCCCAGCAGCAGGACAGGACACATCCCGCTGCTTCCACAGCAGAGATGGGCACCTTGTCCTCACCAGTGGCCCTGGCCCAAGCCTCAGCTGGAAGATCAGAGCCCTGGGCTGACCAGCACAGCACTGCCAGCTGGGCTGGGATCTGGTCCTTGGCCCTGTTCCCAAACCAGCCACAAACACTCTCCCAGCAGCTTCCCAGGCAGGCCTCACCTTCCTTCTCCTCACGGCTCCCTTGGCACCAGGCACAGCCTCACACACCAGCCCAATGGCCTCCCTGCAGGGAGTGCAGCGAAATGTCAATCCCCACAGTGCCTGCCTTGCTCCAAGACCCTCCCAGCCACGGCATCATCAGGATAGTGGGGACACAGGGATCAGCACAGGACAGACAAGGTGACAAAGTGGAAGCTCTCAGGCAATGCCAGCTGGGCCTCTTTGGGTAGGCAAAATGTACTGGAATTAGTATTTGATGGTCTGCAGCCGCCCCTGGCCCCCACTGAAAGCCCCACGTGCTACCGGGGGCTTGCCTAGGGCTCAGACAACTTCCTCATCCCTCCCCAAAAGGAGCAGTCCCTGGGGAGAGGCAGAGCTCACCTGGTCACCTGTGTCCTGGTGTTGAAATCCAGAGCCCTCATGGATTGGAGCACTTCCACACAGCCCATGTACTGTGCAAGAGAGCAAGGTGAGCTTGGCCAGCCATGGAGTTTGTCCCCCATGCAGCCAGGGAGGGGCTGGGGCCTCAAGCACCCCAGCTCTGCAGCAGTAACTTCCCTGGGAATCCCACTGCCTATTGCCCTCCCCAAAGAGCAGGGTGCATCCTACCACCAGGAAGTCCCCAAATCCCCACCGTGACCCTTCCCACTGTCCCCCAGTCCCCAGCACTCACCCGGACATGGTAGGAGACCCCCGAGCCCATGACCTTGTCATCCGGATGCAGCCAGCCACGGGTGGGCTTATTGACAAAGCTGCCGTGGCGGGTCCACTCATCACCCCCCAGCTGGCCGCCTTCCACCCGCGTCTTCTTCCCACAGCTCAGCTTGTTCATATCCTGGGAACACACAGTGACAGGTCTCACTGAGCCGGGGCTGGCAGCAACCCCTGGCACTAGTGCTGCCATCCCAGGGGGACCAGGCTCCCCTGGGCTGCTGCTGGCTGAAGAGCCCCGCAAGCTGAGCAAGTTGGCGGGATTGGAGAGCTTCAGGTTGGCCATTTTGGGGAAGAAGGAGCAGAGGGTGGTAGGGCTCTCCTCCAGCTCAGGCGAGAGCTCCCCGAGAGGTGCAGCGTGGCTGAGGGAGGACAGGGAACCAGGCAGAGACTGCATGCTTGCAAGGGACTCCACTGGGGAGGGCAGGACTCCCAGGCCCGCCACGGCCTCCTCCGGAGAGGAGACAGACTCGTTCCGCAGGTGGCTGTATTTGCTCTTTTGCAGGAGATCCATGCTGCAGACGGGTGAGAAGGGCACAGCTGCCCTGTCCAGAGTGGCAGCAGGGTGGATGCAGCCAGCCAGGCCTCACAGGGGCCCCCCAGAGAGTCCGAGTGGCCGCAGCCGCCGGGAAGCTGCCCCCAAGCAGAAGCCTTGGCTGAACTCTGCGCTAGGTCCACGCCAGCCCGACATGACTGGCACGGAGAGCTGGGCTGGGATGGTGGCAGCAGGTCCAGGGGCTGCCCGGCCCTGTGCAGGCACGGCCGATCAATGGTGATCGGCGTCAGCAAGGATGTGCAGATCCATTCAGACCGAGAGCAAGGCGCTACAGCAGGGAGGAAACGGGGCCGCAGCGACACCCCAGGGAGCCGCTGGCTCAGGGAGGGCAGCTCAGAATGCTCTGGCCCCAGACTGGAGGTCCTCAAGCCCTTTGCCACTTCAACACCGGGCGGAAACAAAACCCATTGTCTTCATCCAGGAGCAGATCCAGCTCCCTCTGCCCTGCAGCGGGGTTCAGCACAGCCACCCTCCGCCCCACAGCTCGCTCCAGCCCCTGTGCCACTGCCCGCTAAGAGAAAATCAAAAGCATGAATATTTAAAGCCCGGAGATGAGGCAGACACAGAGCGCATCCAAGCCCATCCCAGCCCTGCTCCGAGCACTGGCCAGGAGGGAACGAGGTCCTTCTGTGGCAGCCAGCGCCACGCAACCCACGTGTCGGCGGGGAGCAGCTGCTGTTGGCTTGCTGGGCTCTGCCGGGGGGAGCAGCGATGCTGAGATGACACCGGTGCTCACAGCTTCCTGGAATACAGGGACATGCAGTCCTTTGAGAGCACAGATCTTGCCTGGAGGGCTGGTGGGAGAAAGAGGAGGATGGCCAGGAGCAGGATACAGGTAGGCTGTGCGCTGGGCAAGGCAGGGCTCAGCACAATCCCCCAGTCGTGGTGGGGAGCCTGTGGGAGAGGCTGCAGCTAATCGCTGCTGCTTCCCGCATGCCAGCTGTTCCTCCCGGGAGAAGAGATGAAGGGGCTGCGGCTGATCGGAAGATCTGTGCTGACTCACGGGCGGCGGGGCAGGCTCTGCGCTCGGGCTGGGGCGCAGCGCAGGAGGGGCTCCCGGCGAGGGGTGGGGACGCACTGCTTATCTGGAGCAGAAAAATCAAGGTCACAGGCGGAGCTAGAGGGAGCGGGCGGCAAGAACGTGCTGGGGGCAAAGTTGGCCCCTGCAAGCTCGGGGAGCTGTGTGACACTCCCACCTGTGGATCAGGGGGCTCAGGGCAGGTCTCCCCTGTTCCCCTTTCCTCAATGCACTTGCATGCAGCAGGAACTTGGGCCAGCCTGACTGTCCTGCCCTCCACAGCCTTGGCCCCACTGAGGGACAAGAGCTCTCCCCCCTTTACCACCTATAGGATGAAGCAAGGAGTTCAGACAGAACCCAACCCCTGATGCATCACAAGCCAGACTCCTACCAACCACCAGGTGCTCTGTCCACCAAACCAAAACTGGGTAAATCCGGGCCAAGGAAAAGGCTCTCCCTGCTTGGAGCACTGCTTGGCACTAGCCTGCCCCACTTCACAAAGCCTGGCACGCTGCCATGGGGACAAGGAAAGGAAAGCCAAACAGGGCTGGAAATTGCACCTACGTGGTGCGAGGGGCAGCAGCACACGGGAGCGGGGCGGTCACTGAAGCATCCTAGCTCTGTAAAGGCAGCCCCCCAGCTCAGCCATGGTGGTCCCACAGGCAGAGAGCCCGTGCTGGCTGTTCCACAGAGTGCTCGTCCCCTCCAGGGGCCCCCGGCGGTTCAGCGCTGTGACCTTCCTGTGGCCGCAGCACCACTCCTCTAAAGAAAAGCAGGAAGCCGGAGCCAGGAAGTTGCTGGCCCGGTGAGGGGCCAGCGCAGCCCTGTTGCCAGGGGAAGCTGGCTGGGCAGTATCAAGTGGCCATGGAGCAGTGGGGTTTGCCCATGACAGACTGGCCACTGCTTGATGTGGGCCTGGGTTTGCCTGGCACAGCAGCTCTGTGAGCAGGACGGAATTGCAAGGGGGCAGGAGTGTCTCCTTGGCCTCTTTCCACCACCCCAGGGCTTGGAGCAGCCATCACCTACAGGCAGCAAAGGGCTGATAAGCTTCCCAGCTGAAGCTCCTGCTCAGACGCATCTCTGCTTTTATAAGCCAAACTAATTCCTGATTTTCTCAGAACCTTCGAGGTCAGTCTGCCCACATCACTCAACAGCCTGTTACAAGATTCACTGCAGCTCTCAGCCCTTGGAGACCAGAGGTGCTACCATCACAGCTCCCTCAACCCCAGAGTCCACCCCAGGGCATCAGAGCTCCCTCCCAGTGGGCTCTGAGTGCAAAAGGCAAACCTGGAAATATGCAAAGGCGCAGAACACCAGCCCTGCCTCAACAGGCAGTCCCAAGCCCCATCCCACAGGCTGCAGCCCTTCCCTTTGCCAGGCAGACGCCAGGAGCTCCTGCCCCTGCAGCAGAGGATGAGCAGAGCAGCTGGAACAACTGCCCCCAGGGAGCTCTGGGGACATGTCCTGGCCCAGCTGCTCCATGTGCCCTTCCACCACAGAAAGACAATGGATCATGAGAAACAGAGGGATGTGGACTCCTTTCAGGCACCTGAGACTGGGACTTCACACATCAGCTGGGGCAAGGAAGAGAAGCAGAGTGGGGATGCTCAGGGCTCCACTACCAACATCCTCCCTGGAAAAAACCTGGGAGCCGAGTCAGAGGCCTGGAACATACCGGTGGTTTGGCAAGAAATCGCAGCAAGGCGCAGATGGCTACACATGCAGACCTCGCCCTGGGCAGGAGACCCCCTCTGCCCAACTGCAGTCAATGCTGAACCTCTGAGGCAGGGGTGAAGCAAAGGAGAACACTCAAACCCAGCCAATAGCTGGATTTTCCCTCACACATCACAGCAGCATCGAACAACATTTACGCATCCTGCACGCAACCTCTCCTTTGTTCTGAAGAGGGGGTTAGGAGATACCAATGGAGATCTGGGGAAGAGGCTGGAGACCTCCCAGAAGGCAGAGGAGGCAGGCAGGATCCACCACCGAAGCCACTTAGCCCTCCACCGAAGTCCTTACCACATACTCCATCGCCGGCGGAGGGCAGGGCAGGCCCCGGGCGGGGAGCAGAGACACACAGCCCCTCTCGTCTGGCACTCCGACCTGCGGTTCGGGGACAAACAGGGAGTTAGCCAGCGCTGTCCCAGCCCGCTGAGGTGGGTGGGGGCCACAGTGCCAAGAGGCAGACCCTGCTCCTCCATGCTGTGCACAGGTGGATGGGCTGTGGCTGCCGTGCAACCTGCTGCTGGCACAAAGAGTAAGAGAAACCTGGAAGCTGCCTTCTTCCCATTGGAAATAAGATGGAGTTGAAATGTGCTGGGACAGGAAGAGGAAGCTGAGCCCTGCTTACGCTGGCAAATGGTATCGGGGGCCTAGAGTCACTCTGTGACCCAAGAAAAGTGCTGGAACCGATCCTTGCCCAGCCTAAAAACCAGTACTGGAAAGCCACATGCAAGGATGGAGAGCAAAAGCAACCAGAGGGGCAGAGCTGCTCCCTCCTCCACCCCTTCAGCTGACACCCTGATGCAAAATTATACCCAGAGCCCCCAGGGCCGTGTCCCTTCCTCCCAGGGGAACCGGTGAAGACAGGAGTCGTGGAAAGACTCTACAATTGGTGAGCTGGCAGAGGCAGGAAGCTCTGCGAGGGGAAAACAAGGCAAGCAAAGCACTCTTCTCACTCTTCTGACTCCCACTGCCACTGCCCAGCGAGGCAGTCAAGGCCAGGCCGGCGGAGCAGTGCAGGGCAGCAGACATGATTTACTGCTTGGCAGCAATTGTACCTTTGTGTGCAGCCTGTGCCAGCTGTCACCAGTAGCTTGGAAGGCAGCAAGATAAGGAGAGCTGTGCTTGGCCATGGCAGTGGAGATTGACCCCTGCAGCACCGTGCCACTGCCAAGCAGAGGTGGCGACCACGTCCTTTGCACATCGGGCACCGAGGCTGGTGCCAGGGAAGGAGCATCATCACCCAGAGCCAGGGTGCTCAGCCTTATCACAGCCCATTTGTGTCCCTCCTGAGGATGGAACACTGCTATGCACAGCTTCACAGGGTGCCCAGCCAAGGCATTCCCCCACCAAAGGGCAGCAGGTGGATCCTGAAGCCCTCCTTGGCTGAGAGGAGATGGCATCTTCAGCCCCTCTGTTACAGCTGACACCAGGGCAGCCCTGGCAAGCACCACAAAGCAGTGCCCTTTGCCCACAGACTTCTGTAACGCCAACGTGGCAAGCAGGGCCCAGGTCACACTTCCTTGGAAGCCATGTCCGTGGTCTATGATCTGTGTGGGTGACCCCATTTAAGAGATTCGAGGGGAGAAGCAAGAACAGATGGACACAACACACTGCTGTATTGCAGACACAGATCTCCAAGGGGGAGCAGCTACCCCTTTCCACAACAGCTGAGTAGGCTCCGGGTACTCAGTGCTGCCTTACTCTGAAGCACAGAAGGCAGGAGGGCAGAGCCCAGCGAACCCTCCAAACCCAGCCGCTGTCCCGTCCCTGCCGAGGTCATACCAGTCTTGGGGCTCGGGGTTCTCCCTAGACCCTGCAGCACCTCTACGGCCGGTGTCCGTCCCGTGTCTCGCACCAGCACGGGGTGGGGAACGCAAGCCTGAGCCCTGGGCACACGCAGCCGGCCGCCACGCCGGTGGGTCACCCCGGGCCCTCCGCACAGCACGGCACCGGCTCCTCCAGCCCCCGTCGGGCGGCACGCAGGAGGCTCCGGGCCCGCCCCACGGCCAGGCTCCCTCACGCAGGGCAAACCAGGCAGCCAGGAAGGGCGACTCGGCCCTCACAGCACGGGGAGCGGCGGCGGCAGAACCCGCACTCGTTTCGCGGAAGGCGGCGGCGGCGGCGGCGGCGAGCGATGTGGCCTCGGTCCGGCGGGGGCACCGCGGGGCCTGGCCGGGGCTCCCGGGCCCGGCGCGGGTCCCCCCTCCTCCATCCGCGCGCGCCCTCACCGCCCCGGCCGGCGCGCGCTCACCGGGCACCATCGGTCACGCGCGGGCCTCGCGCCGCCGCTCCCGCCGCTCGCGCGCCCCTCTCCCGCCGCCCCCGCCGCCACTCACTTCCGGCCCGCGCCCCTCCGGCCTGGCCCGCGCCGCGTGACCCGCCACGGCCAATCGCGGCCCGCGCCCGGCCCCGCCGCGTCGCGCGCGCGCCGGCCAATGGGAGGCCGCTCCGCTCCGCCCCCCCTCCCGCCCGGCGCGGCGCCGGCCAATGGGAGCGCGAGGCGGCGGCGTTTGAAAGCGCCGCGCGGGGGGCGGGGCACCAACGGCCGCCGAGGGAGGGCGCGGCGGGCCCGTCATGGCGCACAAACAGATCTACTACTCCGACAAGTACGACGATGAGGAGTTTGAGTACCGGTACGCAGCGGGGAGGGGTCGCGGTAGCGTCTGCTTGATGAGGATGCAGGGGTGTCGGTTAAGGTTTGCTGCGGTGAGGGAGGGAAATGCCGCGGTGGGGTGGAGCGGCGATTAACGGCCCGCGAGTGGGGGAGGGCGGCGGTGGGCGAGTCGCGGCTCCCTGGTGGAGCGAGAGGGGAATTGCGCCGGTAACGCGAGGGGCCCGGTGAGGGCTCTGTATCGGGCACGGCGCAGCTCTCCGGTAGGGAATGTCCGTCCTGGGGAACGGGGGGCTGTCGGGGTGCCCCGGTGCTGACTGCGAGGTGCGGCGCTACAGGCACGTGATGCTGCCCAAGGACATCGCCAAGCTGGTGCCCAAGACCCACCTGCTGTCGGAGTCGGAGTGGCGGAACCTGGGGGTGCAGCAGAGCCAGGGCTGGGTCCACTACATGATCCACGAGCCAGGTGAGCGCCGCGGGGCAGCGGGTGGCGCCCACGGGGCCCGGCCTGACCCCCTCTTTTGCCCCGCAGAGCCCCACATCCTGCTCTTCCGACGGCCACTGCCGAAGAAGCCGGAAAAGTGAGTGGCCCCTGGTCTGCCGAAGCTCCCAGTCCTTCCACGTTGAGACAACACCTTCCTCCTCCTTCTCCTCGGCATTTCTCGGGGCCTTCACCCCGTGACCCTCGACGCTGCCTGTGCGTCGTTTTGACTGCTCGACCCGGGTTCCGGAGGCCCTTCCCGTTGCGATGCCTCCAAAATTTTAATAAAGTGATGTTTGGAAGCCGTGTGTCTGCAGTGCCGGGGGAGGTGGGTGGACGGTGAAGGGGTCCCGGTACCGCGGAGTCTGTGTCCGGGGGTTCCCGAGGAGGCTCCCCGGGGTCTGGGGGGGTGGGGAAGAGAGAGCCTCCCCGCGCCCACCGGAGAGAGGGCCGCACACGCCCCGGCCCGGCGGGCACGGCCGTGGAGGCGGAGCTGCACCGGCACCCCCCTCTGCCCGCCGCTGCGATGGTTCCGTCCCCGCAGGTCCCGCCTCTCGGCCAATGGGAGCTGGCGGGGCGGCGTGACGGACGTGCGGGCCGGCCCGTGAGCGAGCGGGGCGGTGCCGCGGGGCGCGCGGGTGCCCGGGCGGCCCCATGTGGCGGGTGTTGCGGGCTGCGGGCCGAGTGCGGGGCCCGCTGCGCGCCGCCGCCTGGCGCCCCATGGCCGCTTCGGGCCCGGCAGCGGCGGCCCGGGGATCCGCCAGCACCGCCGGCATCATTGTCATCGGCGACGAGATTCTCAAGGTGCGGCGGGGGTGGGCCTGGGCTGCGGGCGTGGGGCGGACCGGGGCCTGCGCCTGGCGTCGGGGCGCCCCGCCGTCATGGGCGCCTCCGTTCCCCTCAGGGCTACACGCAGGATACAAACTCCTTCTTCATGTGCCGGCGGCTGCGTGCTCTCGGCGTGAGTGTCGCCCGCATCTCCGTGGTCCCCGATGACGTGGAGGCCATCGCCAGTGAGGTGGCCGCCTTTGCTGCCCGCTTCACCTACGTGCTGACCTCCGGGGGCATCGGCCCCACGCACGACGATGTGACCTTCGAGGCCGTGGCTAAGGCCTTTGGGGAGAGGGTCGTGCTCCACCCCGAGCTGGTGGCGCTGGTGCGCGAATTCTTTGGCAAGACGGAGGTGCAGTGCCCTGAGATGAAGCTGGCTCGCGTCCCCGAGTCCTCCCGCCTCAACTACGGCACAGACGGGCACACCGGCAGCACCTTCAAGTACCCGCTGGTCAGTGTGCACAATGTCTACATCTTCCCCGGCATCCCGGCGCTGATGGAGCGTGCCCTGGATGGCCTCGCTCACCTCTTTCGCAGCAAGCGGACCCACTTCCACTCCCGCACCATCTACGTGCTGTCCGATGAGATGGTCATCACGCCGCTGCTGGACAGGGCTGATGCCACCTTCCGGGGCCGCGTCAGCTTGGGCTCATACCCAGACTGGACCAGCAATTACTACCGTGTGAAGCTGACCCTGGACTCGGAGTCAGAGCAGGACCTGGAGGAAGCGTATTGCTTCTTGATGAGGGAGCTGCCAGCGGGTGTTGTGGTGCCGTTGGTGACAGACTGTGTCTCTCCGGCAGCTGTGGAGGTTTATGGCCTGGCTGAGTCAGGTACTGGGGGGAGGTGCTGCAGCACAGCTCCGTGCTTCCATGCTTCTCCTGTGCAGCCTTGCAGGGCTGGGGCAGTGGGAACACCAGCCTGGGAGCAGAGCTTGCCTCTCGTGGTGTGCTGGGAGGCTTGAGGCCTGTTGCAGCTGCAGTGGGCTTCATCCCATGCAGGTGGGAATGGGACCTGTAACCTCAGCTAGGGCTGCTGGTGGCAGGGTCTGAGAGCACAGTGTGCAGCAGCAGCTGCAGTGCCACAGTTCCTCAGTGACCTCATGATCCCTGTTGCATTGTGGCCCAGATCTCTGGGTTGAACAAGCTCTTGGCTCTGGTACCAGCAATGGCTCTGCTGTGTGGATGGATATGAGATGTATCCAGAGGGTGAAGTGCCTTAGGCCCTGGGGCCATGCTAAGGGAACATGAGCTGGGCAGGCACCAACTGTCCTGTCCTGGCAGGCTCGGCCCTGGGGCAGAAGGTGGCAGCAGCCCTGCGAACAATCGAGGAGGCTTTGGACCGGTACAGCCTGGTCCAGCTCTGCGTGGGCTTCAACGGGGGCAAGGACTGCACAGCCCTGCTGCACCTCGTCCACGCTGCTGTGCAGAGGTACCCACACATGGGGCTCCAGGCTGGGGCAAGGCTGAGGGGTCCTGCAGACCCTGGCCAGGGCTCTGGGGCTCTTGCTTGCTCCACCCTAGGGGAACGAGTGGATTCCTGGGGTCCAGCTGGTTGGGTCTGGACGCTGCCTTGCCTCCAGTTGCCATCGGTGTGAGTACAGCTGCACTGGGTCTCTCTGCAGGCGGTTCCCAGCGAGGCAGGAGAGGCTGCAGGTGCTCTACATCCGCATTGTGTCCCCATTCCCTGAAATGGAGCAGTTCATTCAGACAACAGTCCAGAGGTAGGAGGCAGAGTGGGGTGGGCTGCTGCCTGGAGGCTGTGCAGTGTTGCTTGCAGCCCGCAGACAGCTGCCCACCCTGCCTGGAGGCTGTGCAGTGTTGCTTGCAGCCTGCAGACAGCTGCCCACCCTGCCTGGAGGCTGTGCAGTGTTGTTTGCAGCTGCCCACCCTGCCTGGAGGCTGTGCAGTGTTGTTTGCAGCCCGCAGACAGCTGCCCACCCTGCCTGCACAGGTACGGGGTCCAGCTCTGCACTGTGGAGGGCTCCATCCGGGAGGCGCTGGCCCAGCTGAAGGAGCAGCAGCCACAGCTGGAGGCTGTCCTGATGGGAACACGGCGGACGGACCCTTACTCACGCACCCTGACCCCCATGTGTGTGACAGACCCCAGCTGGCCCCCTTACATGCGGGTGAACCCCTTGCTGGTACGTGGCCTTCACCTGTTTTGGGGCTGGAGCTGTTGCCACAGGGCCTGGCATGGGGACCTGACCGGCCTGGGAACCAGCAGTGATCCACCCCCATCCTGGACAGCTTCTCTCACGATTCTCACTCTCCCAGAGTATTTACTGCCCCTCTGGGCAGCCGTGGGGGCCCCTTGCTGCAGTGAGGCTGCTGGGTGCTGTTGGGCAGGGCTTCTTCTTGCCTGCCGGGGGGTTGCTGGGAGGGGCAGTGGTGCTCTGATGACCATCTGGCTCTCCCAGGTGCTCTCCAGGAAGGTCTGGCTTGCTCCCCTGGGAGGCAAGGGAGCAGCCTTTTGCCTCTGCCTCAATCCCTGCCCAATTCTGCCTGCAGGACTGGAGCTACCGGGACATCTGGGAGTTCCTGCGCAAGCTCTTTGTCCCCTACTGTATCCTCTATGACAAGGGGTGAGTGCCCAGGGCTGCCCTTCTCACATGCACAGCCAGTGGCCCTGGGTGCAGTCCTGCAGCTGCTTCTTCTTTCCACAGCTACACGTCCCTGGGGAGCATGACCAACACACAGAAGAACCCAGCCCTGTGCTATACCGATGCTCAGGGCCGGGAGAGCTACCGGC